TTTTTTTTATATAAATTTTGGAGCAGCTTTTGTAAACCATCCATTTCATAGTTTGAGTGTACACTTTATTCATACAATATTTTTTTATGAATTTTGAGCAGATTTTAAAACCATTCATTTCATAATTTGAGTGTGCTGGGTTTCTCTTGGTTCTATTTAATTCATATCAATATTAATATTATTTATTTTAGAGTTTTATTATAAAAAATTACTTCATATCTGTCAAATATTTATTCTAAAATAACACGAATATAACTTTAGTTTATGTACTATTTTTATTAATTTTTTCATTTATATATTTATTCGAAACATCCAGATTAATTTTTTCGATTTTCAAAAAAATATAACTATTTAATTTTTATATGGAATTCAATTCTATTATAATCAAATGTTAATTAGGATTGATTCCAATATTCTTGGTAACAAAATAACTCACCCCTACTCAAAACAAGACATTGACATAGAAGAATGTTTGAGTAATTCATTTCAACACCATAATATGTAAAGAGCTAAATTTATATACAAAATACATATATATATATATATATTTTTTGATAATCCGGAAGTTCACCGTACCTTTGGCACGACTACATCTTCCAGAGGATCGGGGAAACACATGTGAATGTTCCTCTCCACGTTTGGGTTTGAATCCAGGATGAGAACATGCTTTGCATGTTCACTCACCACTAGGTCACCCAAGTTTAGGTATATACCAAATACATATTTGTTAGGTCATATATATCATACATATGCCACATAAAACATTATTAAAAAAAAAATTGCACCTAACATCCCGTGAAAGCGAATTTGCATTATGACCCAACAATATATACACATACATATATTCTGCAACGTGTCAAGATATTATTATACAGATGATTTGTCATTCGAAATTAAATTGTCTATTTATTTTCTTTTGAAATTAAATGCTTAATTTAATAATTTATTTGTACCTTCGTGGGCGTTGACCCGCACTGCATCGAATTTAGTAAAACACAACCTGTTTGAACAAAGAAATGGTCCACTAATACGTGTATTTACCTACAGTTTTTCTGTGAGGTTTATGCTAAACAAATACATTTATTAGTTGAGAATTTTGAATACAAAATAATTCGAACTCTTTACGTTTTATAAATTCAATCCCAGCATTTCGAAAACACTGCCTTCCTTGTAAGTTTATATAAATTTATTATTATTGTTATAAAGATAAAGCGAATAAATGTTTTTGGAAAAGCCAAGCAAAAAATAAAAACAATTGTGTTCCGACCATAAGTTTCCATTGGTTGGGAAATGTCGTGAGCTCCACGATAATGCTATTTGAGTAGTTGTACTTTCAATTGAAACTGGCCACCCCGCTTCTCTGTCTTTAAAATTATTGTCTTATTTTTGCAACAAATTTTTCCTTTTTCTAATAACCAATTTATTGTCTCCCTTTTAAAAGTAAAATCGTTACATCTTTCTAAAATTTTTAATTTTAGTATCTTTTAGTTAATTTTTAAAAATTAATAATACTTTTATTATTTTCTCTCTATTTTTCTTATCTTACTATTCATAATTTACCTATAATTCTAAACACCAAAACCTCAAGCTCTAAACATCCTATACAACTATAAATACTAATCCTAAATCAATCTTAAACTTTAAACCTAAATAATAAATTTTAAGGTCTAGAATTTTAGATGGGTTGATGAATATATGGTTTAAAATTTAGATTTATGCATACAATTTAGAGATAAATTAGAGATGGTGAGATGAAAAATCATAGAATAACACGGAACAATTATTCATAGACGTAAAATTATTAAATGAGTGTACTCGAACTGCCCCGTTATCCCATATGTCTCAACTCTATGGATTTTTTGCTCGAATTCCAATGCAAAAATCAATTTGGTGGTTCCTTTTAAAAGTATCTAGAATACGACATTTATATTTTTATTAATAATTATTTATTAATTATGGGCGTAAATAAAAACATCACGAACTCTCTCCCGCACATCTTGTAGAAATTTTATTAAATAATATCTTGGATTTTTTTTAAAAAAATTTACAAATAGCTCATTACATTCATTGTTTTTCTTGTTTCGAAGAGCGGAGTAAATATGGGGTTTTTGTGATAAAAGAATTAATGGTGGGGTCGGAAAAGAAAAACTGTATAATAAAGGAGCTTCGAATCTATAGAATCTCCCATAATTCGTTACAGGCCGCTGGAGAGATACGTTACGTGGACGGAACTGAAATATCAGAGATACGTTGAGGACAAATCTGGAAATTCACTTGCATCTTGGTGCACATGAATCACGTGCTCTGCCATCCACCGCGTTTCAAGCTCCGAAGCTCAAAGTAGATTTAAAAAAAAAGAATCTAATTACGAATTCGGATACTCGATTGGATCCGCTGAGTTAGGTGCCCGAATACTCCATGACGTAATATTGGATATTATTTTTAAAAAAAAATCCGAAATTTGAGTTTGGATTTGTATATCGTAAAGGGCAACTAATCATGAAAATTACAGAATGGTTAATTTGTGATTTTACCTCTACCATTAAATTATATTATATAAAAATCTAAATCTAGATTTTGTTCTCTCCCACTATTAATCATATCACTTCGTATCTTGGCTTCATCACTACGGATTTCATGGAAAAATTGTCTCGGTCTTGTGTTCATGGGATTCGGGTTCGTGCACTCCGGGTTCAATATGTAACCAATACCGAGACAATTTTTTCACAGAACTCAGACTCGTGATGATAAAGCCGAGACCGTGTTAAATAAAAAATATCGTGTTAAATAAAAAATACTAGTATCCAACTCGTGTCAACCTTTGGCTCGAATATTGATAGATTTGAAATGAATTTAAATTCATATTTAAACATACACATGTATTTGATTGGTTTTGTATAAATTATTATATGTTTAATGTATGAAAATTTTAATAAAAATTAGTTTGAATGTTCAAATTAGATACTAACGGATATCTGAATATTATCCTATCTATATTCAAATTCGGATATCCGATTTATTATACGAATATGAATTCGGTAACGAAATATGTAATCCGAAACATTTGGATTTGGTACCTAAACATTTGATGTAACCGACCTATTATCCACGTTTTCTTTTTTTTTTTTTGCAAAATATTTTAAAAGTTAAGAAAAAATATGTGGATAATTAATTTTATATTAGATTAGATTTATTTTATTTTTTTATTAATTTTTCTTTTGTATTCGTATCTAAATTATATAATTTTGATTTCAGATATAATTTTTTATTGTTATTTGGTTATTTTGATTTGATTATATTAATTCATGGGTTAATGAAATTTATATGTTATTTTCGTATTCAAATGTACTATAAAAACAATAATATATATATATATATATATATAATAACATAATTTGGTGATAAACAATGACAACTAGGCATCATGTTGTGATCATGGTTGCATGATGATGCGCAAATTTTACAGAAAACTTGGAAATTGTGTGACTATAATTTGTATGTAAAGTAAATAAACCAGCTTTTTTCAGATATAATAAAGACAATCTAATTTTAGTTCTTAGATTTATATTTAAGATTTACTTTTCCCACTAACGTTCAACCATGTCGGACCAATACTTCTCTTTGTTGTGGTCCATGTATAGGCATGTGAAAATCCTATGTAAATACACACATTTTAGGTGAAGTGTGTGTGTATATACATACACATACATGTGTGAAATAACCTGACATATTTATGATTGTATGTATGATCACCGATTAGAAAAGTGTTTCCACAGTTGTTTTGCCAATAATATAATAAATTTGGCCAAAACATTTAAAGTATCACATATGGTGTGGGGAAAGACATTCATTTAAACTTTTCAATTTTATAAAATATGTAATTAGGTCAAAAAATTAGCGAATCTGTGAATTATAAAAAAATTATCAAATATCAAATACATTATCCAATTAATTTTTTTTTATAACGAATCTGTGACTCTTCGAGCACGAGAGTAAACTCAACTATTCTATGTAATGACATGCAAATCACGTCAAATAAGTAAATCAAGCGAAACTGATAGATTAAGAAAAAAATAATGTTTTGAAGGATTGAACCCACGAATTCGAGGTAGAGGAAAGAGTTTAAATCTTTGTTTTTATAAAAACATCACCTTATAATTTTTATAAATCTATCAGTTCTTAATCTAATTATGATATTTATCATTATAAAAAAAATATTTTTATAACTAAAACTAGGATGAATAATTAATCAATATACTTTTTTTTTAATAAAAGTTTGAAATAGATATATGAATTTATAGATAAATTAATGTGTAATTAAATAAATCTGGAAAATAAATATTTTTAAAATGCATTCTTTAAATGTGATAGAACAAAAAATAAATATCTAAGTTAGAGAAAATAATTTGGTACGAGGATGGAAGAAGAGCGTTTCTTAAGCCAAATATAAATATATGCAAAAACGTATCTCCATTTCATTTTATTTTTTTTAATGCCTGACGAATTATATCCCTAATAATTCTGAAGGTCACTGTCAAAATTCCTAAATTACAAAAGAATTTACGTATTTTTGGAGAAAGAATGTAAGGAAAGACTCTTTCCTCATTAATATTATAACCTACAAAACATAGTTTAATTTCTAAATCGGTCCGAATTATAAAATTTGGGTCCTACGTATCAAACTGACGAACATTTCCACCAAAACCTCCTCTTGCATATTACACTATTACAGTATATTCAATTGCTTTACTAATTTATTTATTTATTTTGAGCTCAAATAATATTTAGGGCTTCGTTCATTGGGACCCACATTGACGAGTTCGTGTTCAGAATGGAACAATTAAAAATGGGAAATAAAAAAAGGATAGAGGGAAAACTAAACTACCTTTTATTTATTTATTTATTTTTAAAGTTTATTTATTCTAGATAAGTAAATAAAATAATAATAATTTCCGAAAAATTGACACGGCATTTGTGCCATTATATACTCCTTGGGTGAGCCACGCAACGAGTCAGGGAAGACGAGCGAGAAGGAGAGAGAAAGAGAGCTCCTCCTCTGAACTCATACGCCATTATCGAGGAGCTTTATTTCCTCTCCTGACTCTTTGATTTTTGAAATTCCCGATCAATCTTGCTCTATTTTTTTTTTGTTCGAGAGAAATCTAATTCGTAGAAATCATGGGTTCGGAAGCGGCAAATGATCTGAACAATCCGTTGTTGGATTCTCCGAAACCGCAGGAATCGGAGGCCGATCACCGGCTGGAGAGCGTCTTGTCCGACACCCATTTGCCGTATTTCCGGCGACTTTACTTGGCTTCGATGCTCGAGATGAAGTTTCTCTTTCACTTGGCGGCTCCTGCAGTTTTCGTCTACTTGATCAACAATGGTATGTCGATTCTCACCAGAATCTTCGCCGGTCATCTCGGAAGCCTCGAGCTCGCCGCCTCGTCCCTCGGAAACAGCGGCTTCAACATGTTCACCTACGGCCTCTTGGTACTTCGACGAAACTCTTAAAACTAAAACGAACGGGATTTATACTTTGTTTGAAATGGGTCAAAACCAGATTGGGATCTAAGATCCGATTCTGGGGATTCGGAGATAAAAGGACCCAGAAGGGGGGAATTGATGTTGACCCTTTTGAATATTCTTCGGAATGTAACCGATTTTCGGTTTGGATTTTGTTACAGCTTGGGATGGGAAGTGCAGTGGAGACGCTATGCGGGCAAGCGCATGGAGCTCATCGTTACGAGATGATGGGAGTTTATCTGCAGAGATCGACGGTGGTTTTGGCACTCACCGGACTTCCGATGACGTTGCTCTTCGTTTTCTCGAAGCCGATCCTAACTTTCCTGGGCGAACCAGCCGAAGTAGCTTCAATGGCGTCGGTGTTCGTCTACGGGATGATCCCTCAGATCTTCGCCTACGCATTGAATTTCCCGATCCAGAAATTCCTCCAGGCGCAGAGCATCGTGATGCCGAGCGCGTACATCGCGGCGGCGACGCTGGTTCTGCACCTGCTCCTGTCATGGGTGGCTGTATACAGGCTGGGAATGGGTCTGCTAGGGTTATCGCTGGTCCACGCTCTTTCATGGTGGATCATAGCGGTGGCTCAGATTGTGTACATAAAGATGAGCCCTCGATGCCGGAGGACATGGGAGGGGCTCAGCTGGAAGGCTTTCGAAGGTCTGTGGGACTTTTTCCGGTTGTCGGCGGCGTCGGCGGTCATGCTCTGTTTGGAGTCTTGGTACTCTCAGATTCTTGTCCTTCTCGCCGGTCTTCTCAAGAACCCTGAACTCGCTTTGGATTCTCTCTCCGTCTGGTAATTTCTTCTTCTTTTTTTTTTTCTGGATTAATCTTTACAACATGTTTATATTCTATAGTTTTTATAGATCGACATCACAACGGAAAATGAGAAAATGATATGATTCTTGAGCGGTCAAAGGGCTGACTTTGATCATTTTGACTCGTTACAATGACTAAGTGCTTGTTTGTGGTTCGTTACAATGACAAAACATTAGGGTGACATTATAATACTCGATTTAGTTTGGTTTCAAAAAAATTTTATATTTTTTGAATTAAATTGATAAGAAAATCTTATTTTTTTAAAAAATTAGATTTAAAATTATATTTGTTTTTATTCCGTTCGAATTTTGGATTTTAGAGAAAATATAATCCTTCATTTGTAAATTGAATTTAATGCGATCACAATTATGCATTATTCTTTCCAATGGGTTCATTTATTCTATTAGTAATTAAATTAGTCATCATAAATTGAATTAATAGATAATTGTTTCGACTGAATTTTTTAAATTATTCTCTCTTTTCGGGAAGTCACAGAAATTATTGGTGTTCGAAGCAAAATAGATACAGATACATACACATATACAAACAAATTATGCGAATACATAATACAGTATAATTCAATATTCTATAGTGCACGTTTTCGGGCAGAGGGAGCTTTTGGATTGTCTCTAAAATAGAACAAGACACCCACTTTTCGTATGATGTGTTACAATTAGACTTCTCCACGTCTCTTGTTATTGTTCAAAACGCACAACTCTTTTCCTGTTTTGTCGTTTTCTCATGACCCACACTGCGTGTTGTTTCTCTTTCGGGAAACGGCATACACTCCAAACTGGAAAAAAAAAAAGTTGATTACCCGCTTTCTCATGTATACTCTTTTTTTTTTTTGCAGCATGTCAATTTCAGCACTCTCCTTTATGGTGTCGATTGGATTCAACGCAGCCGCCAGGTTGGCAATATATCCCACTTTTCATACACTTTTTAAATTTATTTACATGTTCAAGAAATATTTAACTTGTTTTTTTTTTTCCTGCAGTGTAAGAGTGAGCAACGAATTAGGAGGAGGAAACCCTAAATCTGCGGCATTCACGACGGCGGTGACGACAATGGTGTCGGTCGACAGTTGATTCAACGCAGCCGCCAGGTTGGCAATATATCCCACTTTTCATACACTTTTTAAATTTATTTACATGTTCAAGAAATATTTAACTTGTTTTTTTTTTTCCTGCAGTGTAAGAGTGAGCAACGAATTAGGAGGAGGAAACCCTAAATCTGCGGCATTCACGACGGCGGTGACGACAATGGTGTCGTTGTTATTGTCGGTGTTAGAGGCCGCCGTCGTGCTTTCATGGCGCCACGTCATCAGCTACGCCTTCACGAGCAGCCCCGCCGTGGCAGCGGCCGTCTCGGACATGTCTCCGTACTTAGCCATTACCATCATCCTCAACGGGGTCCAACCTGTCTTGTCCGGTAAAACACACTTCAGTTAACATTTAATTACTCTTCTAATCTTGTAATTAAGAAACACTAATAATGGTTGATTAGCGAATGATAGAAATAATATATTTTGGCGTTTGCGTTTCGTATAGGCGTCGCGGTCGGGTGCGGATGGCAAGCGTTTGTGGCATACGTGAACATCGGATGTTACTACGTTGTAGGAATCCCATTAGGGTTCGTTCTTGGTTTCACGTATGATATGGGAGCTAAGGTAAAGCCGTTGACTAATCCTCGGGTGTTATTTGAAATTAACCGTATCAAAGATTAAAAAATAATTTGAATGAACGTTGGAAATATGAAATGGTGGGGTTATGGATGGATGGTGCAGGGAATATGGACAGGGATGATCGGAGGGACACTCATGCAGACCATAATTTTGATTATCGTCACTGTCCGAACAGATTGGAACAAAGAGGTACTTAAAAATCATTTTCTATTGAAAATTTTATACAACACTTTACTTAGTTGCATGTTCTTCGGAAATTATTTTAATTGTTGTGTTTGATTTGGATTTTTTTTATTTAAATTTCAATGATTATAATGTTTTTATTTTTATTGGCTTTAGGTGGAGAAGGCGACGAGGCGTTTGGATGAGTGGGAAAGTGAAGGGCCGCTTCTAAAGCAATAAATAAAAAAATTGGTCATATTATTTTTTTTTTAAATTTTCGGGCTATCTGCTAAATGTTGCAACGATTAACCCCTTTGTTGATCGTTAATCTCTTGGTTAATGGTTTTGGAAAGTTAATCTCTTGATCAATGAGTTCCATGAGGAAATATATATGTACATTTTTTGTAAGAGGAAGTTAAATTGTGGGGTGAGATTGAAAGGGAGAAAATGCTGTATTCTTAATTGTGTAATCAAAACATTGATTTTGTCGATGATTTAGAAAAAAATAGGTGGTTTGTGTGTGTATTAAATGTTTAACCAATTAATGAGTTGTGGTGAATTCATCCCTTATTATTATATGTTTTATGGTATTTTATTTGGGATTGTGGTGAATTATACTTTGCATCGTATCCACTATTTGTTCCGAAAAAATATCTAAAAAATTGGAGCAAAGTAAATATTGGAATTCAATACCCATTATAGACGTAATAAAGACCTAATTGACATAATAAGAAGCGTGACTATGACATCTCAATTTTAGCATTAAATTTGAAGCCGTCAACGATAATGGTTTTTTTTCTTTTCAATATCTCATATATATATTTAATGCATGCAATCATGCTTATAAAAATATATATATTCTCCATCTTTTAAAATAATGACAGATTATATATAAGAACTTGAGAAGTCCATATCGTATTATTAATTGTTGTTAATTATCAAGGTTTCGTAAGTTGTCCTGTCCCATTTTTTTTTTGATAATCCAAAAGTTCATCGAAACTTTGGTTCGAAGAGGAGAAACCCATATGAATGTTTCTTTCTACACTTGGATTTGAATCCAGTTGAAAGTATGTTTTATAGGTTCTCTCACCACTAGGTCATCCAAGTTTGGATTCGTGTCCCATATTATATCAGACCGGATTGCATTGGCATGAAATGGATTGCGATGGTTACCAGATCAACCGTTTAATTCGAATCCTGAGTTTTGAAATTTATATATAAGATTAATTATTATCTTTCTATATAAGGATATACTAATTAATATATAGTGCAATTCGAGTTATTTACGTGACGGAGAAGATGATACAAGCGAAGGAAGAGCATCAAATTTCATGGAATAGAATCAATGTGGTTGATCTTGACAACGTTGAAGAAAAGGACATAACTCTCTTTTGGGTCGTCATTTCATAAATCAAAGCATTGGTCACAGCATCTGTCTACGTGGAATTATTTGTAATGATTGCGATTCTTTTGTTAGATAATTTGGACTAGGGGTATCAATTTAGTCCCGCGAAGTCTCGTCCGATCTAATCCGAAAATTAACGGGTTTCGGATCTAAGTTTTTTGGCCCAAAAACAATCGGCTTTCGGGTCGATTTTGAATCGGGTTACGGGTTCGAGTCGGATCGGTCCGAAAGTCCAATATTGTTTATAAAAAAAAAGATTTAGAAAGGAATTATACGGACCGGTTCGGGCCATCCCGACCCTACCCAAACTTGGAATATATAGGGTGGGGTTTCGAACTTAACTACATAGATCCGAAAAAAATCGGGTTGATCCGAATCTGAGTCCGAAACTTTTAGACCGAATGCGGGCTCGGACCGACCCGATTGACACGCCTAATTTGGACTCACCTAAGCATGCTTGATATTTGTGTTTGTGTTTGTGTTTGGTCTTAATCTCATTTGTAAATTAACATATGCCCACGTCCTTTGCTTCAAGTCTTGATCGTTACGTGGTTTATGTCCAAATTTAGGTAATTCAACCGGTTCAACCGTGGGATCGCCGATTCGGGATGCACGGTAGCAGAGGCAAGCAGCCATGAACCTCTGCTTCCCACCAAATGAAACCCACTACTTTGTATTAAATAATGTTGTTTCTCATCCAAAGATTTTTATGAAGAAGAGCTAAATTGTTCTATTTTCTTTTTGTATGAGAAAATGCTTCTTTAATGTATTTCATTCTCATATATACAGAATCCTGTCATATAACCATGTGAAAAAGAAATTCAATGCATGAATGGCCATAAATAGATAAATAAATCAGAATTGAACCAATCAAAGATTAGAACTTTTCGTTCTTCCTCGGACGAAATTGATTTTTGGAATGATAATTCGAAATGGGCGAATCGCAATCGCATTGTCTATCAAATTGTGATGTAATAATGGCAACAGTGTTTCCTCAAAGAAGCAAAGAAAAAACGAGATCTTCGAATATTTAGAAACAAGAAAAGGACTCAAACGTCAAGAGAGAAGATCGGCGCCGGAATTCCGGCACCGGAGCCACCGTGGAAGAGCCGTTTAAGAGCTTTGCCGCCGCCGTCGTCTAGGGAATGCTTCCGGAGGCCGGATCTGACGGCAGAGGCCAAGCTCCGCCGCAGCTTCCTCAGCCTCTTCCCGACCTTCACCTTCAACCGTAGAAGCCTCATCCGCAAAAAAGACGGCGGCGGAGGTCGCCGCCGGAGAGAAACGGCGTCGGCTTCTTGGAGGACTCTGTGAATCAAGAACCGGGCTCGCCGGTGAAACACCTCTTCTGGGTCTTCCTTGTCCATCATCGAGTAAGGGCAAGGCCTCCCGAGCAGGGGCATTTTGGTCTTTTCGTATATTCCGGCGATTGCCCCCGCCTGACGAGGAGAGGTGATCACAGAGGCGAGGATTGAAGTTGGGGACTTTATGCATTTATAGTGATGTGTGGATTAAGATTAAGCGGTGCTTATGCACTAATTGTTTTAATTTTTTTCCTTGGTTTTAGTATTTTTTTTTTTAATGGGGCAAAGTTATTTGTTATTTAAAACATTAGAAGAGTAAGAAGATATGTTAAAATAAATAAAAATAAAAAAACTCGTCTTTGACATACGGGCGGTTCATCACATATCCATGCTATGCCAATTATTATTATAGAGGGGACATTATGATTTATGAGATAATAATGGAAAACAGAGGTGCGTACTAACGAATTGCAGCCCAAATTTTAATACTATTGAAAACAAACGATTCAGTTGGCAGCCGAGGTAGGCAAGTCAACTGCCCGAATTGTTACATTAATAGGTTATGCTTCTCATGTCTTAATCTCTGTATCCAAACATGCAACTTTACCCTATCAATGAAACTTGAATTGGTTTTCTTTTTTTTTTTAAAAAAAATTAATCGCACTATATTATTTCTTTCACTAACAATTCCTTATAATCTTCACTCGATTTCTAATAGAATTACCGATTTTATTTCGTCCGAGCGTTATTCAATTTTACTGTCGATCTCGAATCTTTTTGTGCGAATATGGAACTAAAGTCGAGTTCTTTCTTGCAGTGAAACTGAGTTCGCACATATTTCACTTGGCTTTCTATTCAAGTGGAATAATGCCTTCGGTCGTCCCTTGGTTGAGATTACGGGTCGGTCAACTCAAGAAGACGACAAAACTACACTGAGGTCATGTAAGATTCCAGCTGTGGCCACTTTTACTATATCCACAGAATCTTAAACAAAGGGAACCAAAACTTGGAACCACAAAATCCTACAGAAGAATCTCATAATCTCTCTGTTTTTTTTGTCATTTATTGGACCGACCCTTTTAATTGCGCCAAAGGGCAACGTTCTATCAAAGAGAAACAATCAAAAACAACAACTAGCCATCACATTATTATGAAAAACCCCAAAGTAGCAACAGAGAGAGAGAGAGAGAGAGAGAGTCAGAGGAATGTATTTGTATCACGCAGGAGGATAGATAGTAAACAAAGTCACATACCAATTTGGTAACAAAGAACACACGAACCTGGCCAAAAATAATGACAAGATCTGAGGATAGGATACCGCCCTTCCTCCTCTTTCAACCTCAAGAGCCTTTCAATTTCCTTCAGTAGCTGAATCCAACTTGCTGCTGACCCGACTGCTGACCCGGCTGCTGTCCTTGCTGCTGACCAGGCTGCTGCTGGTAACCGGGGTAGCCCCCGTAGTACATGTTAGGGTCTTGTGCCGAGTACCCGTAATACTCCTGTCCTTGCCCATACCCGCTGCCACCGTAATACCACTGGCTAACCCCCCCTGTTGCTTGGCCCTGCATTTACCCTACGGGT